AAGGGAGGGCTAGGAATGGGGAAAAAATAAGAAGCAAGATGCATTATGTAAAGGTACAATTCCCAATGAGAAATGTAATTGTGTTGTATACCTACCATGTACCAATAAAAGAATTTAATACAAAATAAATAAAGAAAGAAAAAGAGGTTGGCCATAAGCTGCACAAGTCCCAAGCGCCCTTGTGAGGTTTGGATACTTGTTGTTGGCTGTTCACAAGGCCTTTTTTTCTGAGGGCGTCTATGTTAATCTCACTCTGAGGAGGAAATATTTGATCACTGCAGATGTAATTAGTTAAGATGACCCAGCTATTTCCCTTCTAGATATCTTCCCGAAAGAGTTAAAGACATCATATCACAGTGATACATGCATACCCATGTTTATAGCAGCACAACTCATTATAGCTAAATCTTAGAAGCAGCCTACATGTCCATCAACAGAAGAATGGACAAAGAAAATGTAGTATTTATACACAATGGAATACTACTCTGTTGTAAAGAAGGATAAGTCATTTGAGTCATTTGTGGGAAAATGGGTGTCCCTTGAGACCATAATGTTAAGTGAAGTAAATCAGACACATAAGCCTAAATATCACCTGACTTCTCTTACATGAGAAACCCAATATATAAATAAAGTGCAAAATTTAAAAAAGACAATAGAAAAGATAGAGAGAAAAAAGTTATTGTAACCCAACATGCACAGTGTATCTAAAAGTGAACCTTGATTTAATAGAATTGTTTTATGTTTTACATCTTTTGGGGCCTTTTAGTCTGGCTGTAATTTGTGTTTATAATTTACTGTACTTTTTAATCAGAAACTCCTGAGCTCAAGAGATCTCCTGCCTCAGCCTGCCTCCAAGGTCACTGGATTGAAGATCACAGGGTTTAACACAGGCACACTGAGAGTATTCCTCTATGGCCATCCAGAACAAGACCGAGTGGTGGGACAATGGGGCTTTTCCCCTCTGGCTCACAGCACAAGACAGGTGCCGTCAGCCACCCTGGGAGGGTGTCCAAGGGCTGCCACTCATTCCTAAGCATGAAGGATGACGCTTAGAAGCTGTGTGACTTTGGGCAAGGTACTTCACTTCTCTTAGCATCTGTTTCCCTAAATGTGAAACAGGGATAATGATGATGTGCTTACTTAACAGCTTTGATGTGAGGATTAAATAAAATAAGCATAAACCACAGAAGGCACAGAGTAAAACTCAATAAATTTAATCTGGTATTTAATCTGGTATTACCGACTGGCCAGTCTCCATGAGGGCAGAGACTGGCAGGATCCTGCTGTGTACTTCCAGGGCTTACCAGATGTCTGGACCCAGGTGGACTTTGATAAATGGTTGTGTATACACCTGCCTCAGGCTCAGCATAAAAGTTCTTTATCTTCAGACGTGAATAGCTGTGCTGAGAACACGAACTAGAGGGGATTCCAGAGGCCATGCATTACCACATGCAAAGCTGAGCTGTGTGTGTAAGCCTCACCCCCAAAACCTGCTGCCAGATATGTATTCTGTCTGTGCTCTCTCCCCTTTGCCCCATTTTCATCCCAACCTGGGGATGGAATCCAGGGCCCCTGGAAAAGTGATTGACCACTGAGCTACCTCCTCAGCCCTTTCAAATTTTTATTTTGAGACAAGATCTCACTAAGTTGCTCTGGCTGACCTTGAACTTGTGATCCTCCTGCCTCAGCCTCCCAAGGACCTGGGATTACAGTCATGCACCACCATGCTTAGCTAAAGCTAGCTTTTTAGGAAGAACCTCTTTCTCTTCCCCAAGCCACCATCTTCCACTCTAAATCTGTCCTTGGTCCTGGTGTCTCACCTCTGCACTCCAAGCTTGTGACAAGCATGTCACACTGCAAGGTGGCAAAATGCAGCAGCTCAGAATTCAAGCTGTGGGTTTAGTCCCAGAACAGGCTGCCAGCCTGCTGCATCCTTTCTAGTTGTGTCACCAGGGCCATGACTTTCCCTCCGTGCCTGGGTCTCCACATCTGTAGAATGAAGATTGTTACAGTCACTGCTTCATGAGACCATGGGGATTAGCTAGAAAGATGCATAGAAGGTGCTTAGAACTAAGTGCTCCCCAAAAAGTCTGTCTTCCTTACTAAGGGGGGCTGAATCGTCTTAGCATGGACCCTGCACTCCAACAGAAAGAACACCCCGTCATGACAAACATGCCCCATTCTGCACTGTCCTATGTGGAAGCCACAGCTACATTAGGCTATGGGGCCCTTAAGATGTAGCTGGTGAGACCAAGAAAGAGATTTTTTTTATACTGGGGATTGAACCCAGGGCCTTCACACTCAGCTACATTCTCAGCCCTTTCTTATTTCTCATTTTGAGGCAGGGTGTGACCAAGTTGCTAAACTGCACAGGCTGGGCTTGGGTTTGCAATCCTCCTGCCTCAGCCTCCTAGATTATGGGATTATGGCTGTGCACCACTACACCCAGCTGAGGAAGTGGATTTCTAATTTCATTTTATTGTAATTAATTTTTCCTTAAATCTAAATAATGCCAATGGATAGGGGCCACCAAAGGGCCAGGGCTAGTGGTTCTAGAAGAATCATTCCTACAATGGGTTCATTTTTCCCCCTAACTATTGGATTCTAGACTCTCTTTTTTTTTTTTTTTTTTT